TTTCCTAATTTCTTCTCTGCAGTTGAGCTTCAAATATGGTGCGCTACTCTCTGGATCCAGAGAACCCCACGAAATGTGAGTCGTTTATCACAAACGTTCGCGTAGGATTTAAGCCGAAGCCATTGAGATTTTAATTGAAAATGTTGGGTTTTTTTCTCTTCGCAGCATGCAAGTCCCGGGGGTCCAACCTGCGGGTGCATTTCAAGGTATGTGCATAGTAGGAAACGCAAATTCAGGGGAGTTTCTGGTTTTTTTTTTTTAATATATATATTTTTCAGTTTTTTCTTTGTTTTGAAAAACGCGTTTTCTACTCTTTTGTATTATTCCGTAGTGTTGGGAATTAGGGCTGGGCCAGCCACTGAATGTAGACGGATGCTCTCTAATCTCAAATGGAAAGGGAAAAGGGAGTAAATCAGACTTGAAAGGGAGTAAGTCAGACTTGAGGCTTGAAAAAGAAAGTTAACACAGCTTTGATAAAACAATTGTAGTACTCCTAAGGAAATAAAGGAAATAATAAGTAAATACAGAACTGGTGTTGAAACACACCTTCTCCCTCCCTCCCCCCGATATCCCCAGTGGTGCGGCAGGGGTGGGGGGAGCAGGGGAGGCCCCGGCTGGCACCAGGGCAGCCCCAGGCTCGGTGGCAGAGGGGAACCGGGCACTGGGGCTGGATTCGGGAACTCGGGATTGAGATTAAAGGCAGAAGATTGGATTGAGGCCTTCTGGGATGCCAGCCACTGCAAAAAGAGGCCTTAACCCCCTGTTACCCTTCAGTGTTACACTGGATATGTTTTATATGGAACAGAATATGCTTGTTGGTCACCTGTCCTGTCTGTTCCTCACCAGAGGTGCCACCTTTCACTTTGTGACCCTTTCCTTCCTGGCCCCCCCAGCATGGCACACCAGATCCAGCAGTGGCTTTGGTCACTAATAGAAGAAGTATCAGCCAGAGCCTTTCTGCATCACCATCCCTGGCATTAACTAAAGATCAGGCGTTCACTTTGAGTAGCAGACACTGCAAAAATATGCTCCTAACTTCAGAAAGTAGTGTCCTCTTAGAAGAGGCTAAGCTGAAAAGTAAAACCACGGAATTAAATTGGTTCTGTTTAACTCAAAACAGGACACGATGAAAAGTAAAACCACGGAACCAAATTGGATCTGTTTAATTCAAAACAGGACACGTGGTTAATTAAGAGTGGTAGGATAGGCTGGGCCTGTTTTGCTTTATCTCCTTGTAATATTTTTACCTATGGGAAGAAAGTCCAAGAGGATGAATCCTTAAGACCTTCGTTTGTAACATGATAAATTAAAGCAGGAGAGCAGTTGCAGCGAGTTAGATGAGGCATTTGTTTCATTTGTTTTTCTCTGCCTTGGTTGGTTGGGAAGAACATCATGGTGTTCTGTTGCTCGTCAAGGAATGTGACTGACTTCCGCAGTTAGTGTGCTGTTTAAGCACCGAGAGCTCATCCTTGATTTTTCTTTGAGGTGTTTTTTTTTTGGTTTATAACTCATACAGATATAATTGTCTGTAGCTTGTTTCTCATGGCTTTCTCTGAGGTGCCGTGCTTGATATTTTAGTAGGAATTTATCCCCAGGCTCCTCTTTTGGATTAGTGGCCAAGGAGGAGCAATGAAAAGTGTAAATACATTTCGATTTTGCTCTGGCCATTAGGTAAAAAACAATAAAGATGTGGTACAGCCACAAACTCAGTAATGTGAGTCATACCAAGGGTTAGAAAAGTAGGTAACAAAAAAAGAAAGTAGTGGGGCAATTAGTCTTTATTCATTTTTTATGTGAGTGTGTGTGAGGGCTGCTTTTAAGCTGAGTTTATAGCAAAAAGGATAGTATCCAGGGAAGGGAGAGGAGTGCTTTTGCTGGTGTTGTAGCTTGGAAAGATCTGCTGAGAGGAACTCTGCTGTGCTCTGTGTTGGTAGAACACTCGAGAGACGGCCCAGGCCATCAAGGGCATGCACATCCGCAAGGCCACCAAGTACCTGAAGGATGTCACCCTGAAGAAGCAGTGCGTTCCCTTCCGGCGCTACAACGGGGGAGTCGGTAGATGCGCCCAGGTAAGGCCTGAAATGAAAAGGCATCTGTTTGCAGCGTCAGGTTGTTGATCAAACTTAGTTATTTTGGTATGCAGCCTTAATAAAAGGGGATGTAGCAGCAAATTGGTGCTGTTTAAAGGCAAGTTGTGTTGTACCAGGGCAAAAAGCGACCTTGTCTTCTTCCAGGCCAAGCAGTGGGGCTGGACGCAGGGACGGTGGCCCAAGAAGAGCGCGGAGTTCTTGCTGCACATGCTCAAAAATGCGGAGAGCAACGCTGAGCTCAAGGTGGGTTAAGCGGTAAAACGTTCGTGTCGGGCGCTCCTGAACTCGACGTCTCTGATGTGCAGAACACCTGCATCGGAGGTGAAATGAAATTGCGTAGAGGCTTTGGCATACTGTCCGTGTGAAATAGGCTGCCTGCGTTTTACGGATTAAAATGTTAGTAATAATTTTTTGCAAGTAAGTGGTCGTTGACTAGTTAGAATTAGTGTGGTTTAGATCTACAAAACAGTAAAATCTGTGGAATCTTGGTCAGTTTGTATCATCGCAGTATCCTTGGTGCTTCAGTTTGGTAACTTTGATGGCAGTGATGACTATCTTAGGACACCTTTGGAACACTCATGAAAAAACCAATTATTTCTGAGCCATCAGCGCTGTTTTAAATCCTGGTCAGTGTTTTTTTGACTTGGGTTGGTGCTTGGTTTTGTGACACCACTGAGTTCAGCTCTTGGACTTGTTGGCAGTGATCTGTGTGGTTATTCATGTTTATAATTAATTTGAAGTGCAAAACAAATCACAAGTTTTCTCTTTGCCTCCCTTTCCCAGGGTCTTGACGTGGATTCTCTGGTCATCGAGCACATCCAGGTCAACAAGGCTCCCAAAATGCGCCGGCGCACCTACAGGGCTCACGGCAGGATCAACCCCTACATGAGCTCCCCCTGCCACATCGAGATGATCCTCACCGAGAAAGAGCAGATCGTTCCCAAGCCGGAGGAGGAGGTTGCTCAAAAGAAAAAGGTACCCTTATACCCTGTGAAAAGACCCAAGTGTTTGCCAGAGGGGTTGCTGTGATGACTGATCTTAGGACACCTTTGGAACACCCATGAAAAAAACCCATGCGGTTATTTCTGAGCAACCTTGGTACTTCTCTGTGTTGAAAATCTGGGGAGGTGCTTGTCGTCAGGGGTTTGTTTTTGCACGAGTGGTTTGTCCTTCCCTGACGCAGTAGTGGTGTTGCCCAGTTTAGCACATCGTGACTTTACATGCACAGGCGAAATTGAAGTGACGGCACGTAGGCCAGGTCATATTTGTAGGGACTCTTTCTGAGCTGGTGCTTGTAAACCTGTAAAGGAATTTCCAACAATTCCTCATCCTTTCAAAGGATGGCTAAATTTATTTGCGAAGAGGTTTTGGGAAGGTGCAGATGATGGGCATTTTTCTGATTTCTGTGTTTGTTTTTCAGATATCCCAGAAGAAGCTGAAGAAGCAAAAGCTGATGGCTCGCGAGTAAACCTCTGACAGCACATGTACATAAATAAAATTTTAAAAGATTTATTGCCTGTGCTTCTCTGCTCTCTTGAGGCTTTCGCTGTA